GAAAAAACGTTTTAAATTTGTTGAAGTGCTTCTCTGGTTTTATTTCCTTTTTCTACACATCTGTGTCCCTTTGACTACGTGCACGGATTCCCTTGAACTCATAAAAATTCTTGCAGGGTTAACTTGTTCTATTGGGCACACGTTTATCGTCTATTGGACTCTCTGTCTTTGAACTTACTCTTCATTTATTTTGATTTTCTTGATGTTACCATACTTGCAACGGGCCGGCACTTTTCCGGCCCGGCCCGTAATTTTGCGAGTATGGATACTATTGTAGTTACCAATTGTTTCAAATTTGCTTTGAAAAGTTAGAAATTCCAGAAAATTAAAAAATTACGGGTTCGTGGAGATTAGTAGACCTGAAGATTTCGGTTTTCGACCTTTGAACTAACTTTTTTTCTTACTTCCAGTATTTTGATGTTACTGTAGTTACAAATCATTTCAATTTTTGAAAAGATGAAAATTCGTAAAAACTAGAGGGTTCCGGGTAAATCAAAAATTTCGGAATTTTGAAGGATTCTCAAATATTTTTCATTTTCAGAAAATTTTATAATTTCAGATAAAATGAAAGCTTTAGAAATTTTAAAATTTTCATGAAATTCAAAAATTTCAAAAATTTCGAAAATTATAGAAAATTTGAAAATTTCAGAAAATCAAAAATTCGATGGTTCTAAACAATCTTGAACTTTAATATTAACAAAAAATGCAAACAATTTCCGATACTCGACTTTTTCTCTAATGTTTCCAAAAACGTACATTTTCAATTACAGTTTTCAATTACAGTGCCCTCGCTGGAAACCAACACATTAATAATCTGACAAATTTGAACTCCTTTCGAAGATAAAACTCTGCATATTAGTATTCGATCAGTTGTTTCAAAGTTCATTTGAATTTCCTGTTATTGAGAATGTGTGGTCCTTTTTTCATAATTTGAGAATAATCATCTAAAACATTACGTGATGTCCTTCGAGAAAATTATGCCGAAATCTGCCAAAATCTGATGCCCCATGCACTTTTCGGTTCCTTTTTCATTTTTTTTTGCCAGAAAACACGTCACTGAGTTTTTAAACCGCTTATGAAACGTTTTAAGAACACTAAAATAGGAAAAAGAACCCCCAGGTCATGCCTGAGTAAACTCATATTTCTCCCTTTTTGAAGACCCAAACCACATTTCAAAAAAATACACCGATGCAATATCGTTTGTCACAGAAAAAAAAACGCAAAAAGAGATAGAGGATGGGGGAGAACTTCGTTCTCAATGAATGTTAGATGAAACGGCTCCCTCCGGGAAAATAACCATCAATTTTCGTCCTTGGTTTTTTGATATGAGTTTTATAGGGGATATTTTGGAATAAGGAAAGTTGAAATCTGATCTTTTTTGGAAAGAAACTTTTAGGAAAAAAATTGTAACAAATAATGAAAACCATGACACCTGAAAGTTCATATAGTCAGTTCCTGAAAATTGCTGTCTTGTCTTGATCCAGAATAGGTTTTGGCATTTTTCTCCAAAGTTCATAGCTTCTCTCTAATATCCATACCCAAATCAGTAACCCACTACCGAAAAATCTCGAAAACCCAAAACCCACCGCACACATCCAGAATCTTCTTCCTTCCGGACGACCACAAAGTGCTACACGAAGAAAAAGGAAGGGCGATGCGCCCCGGCATAGTTCTTTTCTCCTTTTATTCTATGTGTGTGGACATTTTGTCACAAATTGTCACGGATCTTTTTCTGATTTTTGCGGAAGTTTGGGTTGGGTTCTCGTTGCTTTTTTGGAGTCTCAAAGTTCTATTTAGTTTTTTTTCGGAAATTTTTCTCTTAATTTTCTGAAAGTGCGTCACGCTGGCGTCAAGTATCACTAAAGTTGTTAGGTGAGACTTGCAACCGGAGAAGTTCAAGTTTTTTCTAGACTTTTTTATTGGTGTGGCAGTGTTTTTTTCACTTAGTTATCAGAAAATATGATGTTTTGTGTTTGATTTTCCCGATTTGCTCTCAAAAATGTATTTCCAGTAAAAAATATCTGGATGACTCTTAAAAAAAACCAATAACTCTTAAAAGATTAAATATATAAAAAGATTTTGCTAGTGAGGTAATAATGCAATTGAGGAATGTTCATATTTAGAGGAAACACACTATATAAAGATTTTGCAATATTTGAATTTTGCAATTTTAACCTTTAAATTGCAACTCTCAAATTTCAATTTTTTAACTTCAAAAGCCAATTTTCGAATTTTGCAATAGTTAAACTTCAAAAAGTTTGAAAATTTCCAATAGTGTGTTTACAAGTTTAGACTTATCGAAATTCAAAATGAAAGATATTGAAATTTTCCATTTTTCAGATAGCTACACAATTATGTTTTGGCTGCAAAATTTTTTTAAAGCTGAAAATTGAAAATTAAAATTAATTGCACAAAACGTCTAGATATCACAAACTGGGTGCAACGTTTCCGCTTCTCTCTCTCAAACCAATTTTTCAACGAAGAACTTGTTGAAATTAAACGAGTAGGAGTAAGAAAGACGGAACTCGACACACAAAAAATATAGAAAAAAATTTAGACGTGTTGTCATCCTTTTTTATTATTTCATCTCATCTTGTTTTTGTTTTTATTTGAATTTCTTGGAAGAAAAACATTGGGAAAAAAAGGAGGAAACTGGTAAGTTGGCCATGTGCCAAATTTAATAAGAAACACGATCGAGTTTTGAAGAAAATGTTTGTTCTTTGAAGGTGGTATAGCCGATTTGAAATTCATATCCCACCAAGAATTTTGTGTGGGCTAGAATAAGTCGTGTGACTTTGAAAATTTCGTATTATTTTTCCGCTACACTTTTTGCTACTATTTTTTGACTGTTTTGAGTGGTTTTGAAAAGAAAGAATTCTAAAGTGTTTTTCTTATTTGGAACTGACCTACTACTGGTAGTTTCTAAGATGTCCAAGTGACAAAAAACTCTAGGGACTTCAAAAAAACAATCTCTACTGACCGGTGTCACTCACCAAGACACATGACCAGTGCTTATACCAAATCCAATTATCAAGTTAGTCTGTGGATGCGCTCCCACGCTTTCAGCACCACTAATAAAACGTGTGAATGAACATTTGAAACAGAAGGAGACTAAATGAAATAGGACTGAGGAATGAAATCTAATTTTGTGTGGGGCACCGAAACACATTTTGAGATGACGTAAATTTTGTTTCAATCCGTGTGAAAAAAGAAAAAAGAAGAGGAAGACGAGGATAAGCAAGGATTCAGAAGGAAAGGAAAAAGATCAGATTGTGATATCCTTTTCAAACTCGGTGCTTCTAGTTTTTTTGTTCTTCTCGAAATATGAAATTTGAAATCAGGAATTCGGCAAATGGGATGAGAACTTTTAACTTAGAGTCGGTTTTTTTTCAGTTCCTGTCGTAGATATCGAAAAGTTTGTCAAATTTTTAATCATAATATCAGAAGTGTTTTGTCAATTCAAACATTTTTGCTACAATTTTAAAATTTTTGTGCAATTTTTGGATTTTCTGTATTTTTGGATTTTTCGAAATTCGGATTTATTTGAAATATTGAAATATTGGAAACTTTTGGATTTTCATAATTTCGGACTTCCTGGAATTTCTCAATTCTTTGGAACGTCTTGAATTCTTGGAATTTTCAGATTGTTTGGAATTTTTCATTTATAGAAATATTGGTTTTTTGCAATTTCCCAATTTTTTAACTTTTGGACATTCTGAAATTTTTGGAACTTTCATTTTTTTGGATTCTTTGATTTTCAGAATTCTCGGGTTTTTTTCGAAATGTCTAAATGATTTAAAGTTTTTCAAATATTTTTGAACTTTTTGGGCTTTATAACATATATATATAAACTTGAGGACTCATGTTTTTAGAACTATTAGATTTTTTTTCTCAAATTTAGAATTTCTCAAAAAAAAAACAAAACTAGAAAAAGTCATTATCTCACTTCTCCTTCCGTTTTTAAAGGTTGTATTTATTTTGCACAAAGTTCAAAAAGTGTAGACATGTGTTTTCACATGACCCCCTTTTGTTCGACTCGACTGAAAAAAAAACTAGCAGAAAATAATGTTTAGAAGAAGCAAAATGCAGTGAAGAAGAAGAAAAAGTAGGAGGAATGAAAGAAGGAGTTATTTTTGAGATTTAAGATTTTTTATTTTGAAAAGCTGTTTCTTCCATAAAGGCAAAACTCTGGATTCACTGTTTTTTTGTTCTTCTAAATTTTAATTTTTCATTATCTTTTTCCTTTTCCTTTTTCCACTATAAGTCTTCCTTCCCTCTCTGACGAAACCAAGTAGTCTAGAATTACAAATTACTCTCTTTAACGGCACAAAACGAAAAAAAAGAATAAGAGAAAAATAAAGGAAACTAAAAATTACAAAAAATGAAAAAGAGAATGAGTAATTCAAGAGACTAGAATTAGAAAGAACACTTTTACCTGCGTGTACGTCTGACTGAGCTCTTTTATTCTCATTTCGCTATAAATGGATGAACTTTCAAGCGTTTTTTCTTGAAAAATAAACTTTTTTTCTGAAAAACTCACTTCCAAACTTTTTTCCCAATTTTCTTTTGTCGTCAAGTTTTTTTCCCTATTATTATCCACCACCAGCTTATTTCTGACGCCGACAGCCAATTTTGTTTCTCTTTTTACACATCCAACCCAAGATTTTTACCCACAAAAATACTTCTTTAGCATTGGTCTTCCCTCCTCTTTGCCATCTTCAAAAAACATTGTGAAAGTTGCGATGCGAACTCATTGAAATTCAAATCTACTCATCTCTTGGTGCTCGACCCGTCCGTTGTCTGTCAGAAGACGTTGACGTCTTCTACTTTTTTTTATTATCGTTCATCGTCATCTTTTTATTCCGCAACTTTTCTCTCTGCCCATCCTCTGTTTATTTTTCTACATCAAACCTATGCTCTATTCTATTTTAGGAGCAACCTCAAATGGTAAGACTTTGAGATATCTCATAGTTTTCATTTATTAATAATACACTGAAAAAATGGACGAACCGGTGGATATTTATGAACAGGCGGCACTGAATATGTCGATTCCGGAAGGTTGTGATATCACTCGAACGGTGTATGCGTCGATAAAACAGCTTATCAGTCATGATATCATTGATCCCAGCTCAGTTGGGTTCCAGAGTTGTGAACCATTGGTGAGTGAAAAGGAAAATAATCTAGTGAACACTCTAATAGAAAGCATATACTTGCACTTTGAGCACCAATTATTTCATTTTCTAATAAAGATATCACAAATATGACAGCTTATAAAAACTGGTAACATTACGATAAATTATTTACTATTGGACATATTTTTGATATTTATTACGGTTACCGAGATGATTGAGCTTAAAGTGGACGGTTTTTCTGTCCTTCTATTAGAGTGTTAAAGGTACTTCATGTGATGAAAGTTGTTGAGAATCGTTGAAATTATTGAAAAAGTGTTCAAAACTTGAAACTCACATCAGAATTATTATCTTATCAAAAATATATGGTGAATTCTTTGAGTTTTTTTAGTACCAGGAAAAAAGGCAAGTATCTGAATTGAGTATCTGAATACAATTTCTTTTTTCTAAATTTCAATCATTCAATTTTTTCGGAGATTCAGAGTTATTGTAAAACCTTAAATAGAAAGGCCCTCTGTCTTTCAATTTGACAAAGATTTGAAAAAGTTGCTAACTGTTAAATTGTGAATCATGAAATTATAATTATTTTGTCAGTTTTATACGTTTTTGATATCTTGCATAGGAATTGAGATAATTAACTCAAATATGACAATGTGTGGGGCCTTCTTCCTTCTTCCTTATATCACAGTTTTTACGGCAGTCATCAGACATGGGCGGAATAAAAATTTTGAAAATCCGGAATAAGGAATAAGGAAGAAGGAATGAAATTTAAAAATCAGGAATAAGGAATAAGGAATAAGGAATAACAATTTTAAAATCCGGAATAAGGAATAAGGAATAAGGAATGAAAAATTTAAAATCCGGAATAAAAATAAGGAATGAAAAATTTAAAATCCGGAATAAGGAATAAGGAATAAAGAATAGAAAAAACACCCGGAATAAGGAATAAGGAATAAGGAATAAGGAATTTTTTTTTCGCCAATTGCATCATTTTTCATCTGAAATTTCCCAATTTCACGTTTTTAAATTGACAAAAAAACCTTTTCATCTAATTTCGGATGATATCTGCTCAAATGATAAGAAGCAGAATTCGTTCCACTCGTTTTTGTCCAAATTATTTTCGCGTCACATTCTTTACAAGTTGCCTCGTTTTCTGTTCTGACGAAGAATTCGTCAAACTTGCTCCGTTTTTTAGACATTTTTTCTGAAGTATTTAGTAATTGTAAAAACCAAATTTATTTCGTAAAAAACACTGAAAAAAACGCATAACTTTTCCAAGATTTCCAAAAAAAATTTTTTTTCGAAAAACGGTGCAAAGGTGCTCCGTTGAGCAAAATTTTACGCGGCAATTTAGAGCGTTCAAATTTTTTTCCCAGTTTTGAGATTTTTTTTCTGATTTTTGATAGAAAAAATTTTAAATTTTTGAAGAGGAATAACAAAAAAAATCAGGAATAAGGAATAAGGAATAAGGAATAACAATTTAAAAATCAGGAATAAGGAATAAGGAATAAGGAATAGAAAAAACACCCGGAATAAGGAATAAGGAATAAGGAATTCCGCTCATGTCTGGCAGTCATATTTACGAAAAATGAGTCAAAAGTTGATTTTTGTTATACAGAGAAAATTACATTTTTTGAATAGTGAAAATAGAACGAATTTCAATTTTACGAATATTACTCAAAAATGCAATTTTTATGATATAATAATTTTTGCGATTTAGGGTATTTAGTGTCCTTGAACTTTTAAAAACTCGGTCTCCAGAAAATTTCCTACATTTTGTTCGAAAAAAGTTCAAATCAAAATTTGTTTTCGTTTTTCAGTGCGGTCTTTGCTACCATGGGTCCAAAGAGTGGGACTACATCCGTTTCAACATCATCGTTGTCGGCATCATCCTCCCGATTGTCGGTGTTTTTGGTATTGTGGGTAACGCCATATCAGCATTTGTCTATAGTCGCCCAGGTAGACCTTAATGAGCTGTAATCCCAAAAACAACTTTTTTTCAGAAATGCGATGCTCCACCAACTTTTATCTCTTCTCCTTGGCTTGTTCTGATACGGGTGTAGCTTTAACCGGAATATTTTTGTTCTCTCTTGAAACATTCCGCCCATTTTCGCTCACGGTGGCCAGAATGTCTGGTCAATTGTCGGCAATTGTGTACCCGATGGGTATGATTGCTCAGACGTGCTCCGTGTATTTCACCATGTGTGCTGGAGTTGATTGCTTTGTACAGGTAATGCAGGGGTTTCGGCAAGTTCGAAGTTATTCGAATATTTTTCATCAAAAATACAGAACACCTTATGCTTGAAATTAATGTTACCAATTGTTTCCAGGTCTGTCTACCCGAAAAAGTGCGTAGAGCATTTTCGCGTAAAGAGACGGTTCATTTCCTGGCAATTTGTGTTCTCATCTTCTCTGTTCTTTACAATGTTCCCCATTTCTTCGAAGGATTTGTTATCGATTGTTATCATAAGGATTTAGGAGGAATGAGCAAAGAAGTTTGTCCTGCTACTCTGAGATACAACGAACTGTGAGTAATTAAGGAAAATTTTTGGTTTATTCCAGTTTAGGGGTCCCAAGAAATTCGTGGGGGCCTTAAAAAAAGGAAAGCTTAAAGAATAAAAAACCCACAGCCAAGACTGTATAATTATTACTTTAATAAACATCACTTTCAGTTGGTGGCCGTCTGTCAAATGTTAATTTTCATAGTCCCTCAATTTTACAGGGACCCTAATTTCTATTCCTTGAATTTTTTGAGACCCCTGATTTTTTAAATTGACAAGGGAAGCTCTCCATATTTTACGCTGGGATTCTGACGAAACGTATGCCAAATAGTAGTACGTCGGCTATCTAGAACAACCGCAAAATTATAGCGGCCCGTTTAAAGGTCTGGTGAAATGACGAGGCATTTTATGATTTTTCGCGAGTTTGGAGTCGGCACCCTTCGAACGACCATAACTTTGTTTATTTTTGTGGTAGACATTCAAACATTTTTTTATTCAATAGGTAATGAACTAGCAAACATTAATGTCAATTGCACCCATGCTCCATCTTCAAAAAGAATTCCAGGAAAACAGAAAATATGAAAATTTCGAGTTCCACCGAATTCAAAAAATGCCAATTTTTGAAAAAAAGTGCTCGGGGACCATGCCTATCTGATTTCTCAAAGCAAGTAACATACACATATGTGTTCAAATATAGGTCGAGCCCTTGAGTTACGAGACTTATTTTGATTTTTTCAAAAAAAAATCTAAAATTCGTGTCCCACTATACATGCAATTTTTGAAATTTTTTTTCTTTACAAATTGAAAATAACAAATGAAAATAGAGAAGAAACAGCAAAATAACCTAAAACTGAAAAGGAAAGCCTATAAACTGAAAAGGAAAACATTCCAAGACTAAAAATTTTTCAAAAAATTGCATGTGTACACGAATTTTAGAATTTTTTGAAAAATCAAAATAAGTCTCGTAGCTGAAGGGCTCGACCTATATTTGAACACGTATGTGTACGTTACTTGCCCTGAGGAATCAAATAGGCATGGTCCCCCGAGCACTTTTTTTTTCAAAAATTGGCATTTTTTGAATTCGGTGGAACTCGAAATTTTCATATTTTCTGCTTTCCTGGAATTCTTTTTGAAGATGGAGCATGGGTGCAATTGACATTAATGTTTGCTAGTTCATTACCTATTGAATAAAAAAATGTTTGAATGTCTACCACAAAAATAAACAAAGTTATGGTCGTTCGAAGGGTGCCGACTCCAAACTCGCGAAAAATCATAAAATGCCTCGTCATTTCATCAGACCTTTAAACGGGCCGCTATAATTTTGCGGTTGTTCTAGATAGCCGACGTACTACTATTTGGCATACGTTTCGTCAGAATCCCAGCGTAAAATATGGAGAGCTTCCTTGTGAGACATTTTTTGGAGAAACCGAACGATTCCCAGTTTTCCGAACCAAACATGATTGTTTCAAAAAGGTTTTTTCAGGTACCAATCCATCTATTACAAGTACATGTACGCAATTTTCCTCGCTGTTGGACCACTGATCACATTAATCGTTTTGAACACTTTTATTATTGGTGACTAACGAGGCGGCGCCTTAAAAGTTAATCATTCCTTTGATTTCAGGTGTATCTGTATTCGGATCGAGTGCTTCTAATACAGATGACACAATGTCTCTGATTCTGGTTGTTCTGCTTTTTATCTCTTGTAACACAATAGCTCTGATTATCAATATATTCGAAAGTTATCTATCGGAAACACTGGGAAGCAAAATCAACTACATTGTGGATTTGTCCAATTTTCTAGTGGTCTTCAACTCGAGGTGAGCTTTGGGAGTCTTAGACTTTTATTATGGACTTTCAAACTTCGAATAAGCAGGAAATTAGCCAAATTGTAGATTTTTTTGAAGTTCTAAACCTTCAAACAATTACAAACGTTTCAGTTTCAACATCATCATCTACATTAAGTACTCCCGCCCATTCGCTGACACGTTGTTCTCCTACTTCTGCCGCCGGAAGCCGAAAACAGAGAGCCCCGGACCCGGACCACCAATCATGATAACTGAAAAACCATCCCGGTCAAAAAAATGCAAAGAGACACTCTCTCGATTATTGGTTGCTTCTCAACCAGAGGTACTTATATGAGAAGGAGCTCAACGTGATGAGGTGCGTGTTTGTTGGCTTTATTTTTTTATTTGCTTCTTAATTTGAGAGATTTTTAATTTCAATTCTATGAGGGTACATCTAGATTCATTCATACAGACCAGGTTTTTTTCTGCTGCTCAATTTCATGAGTTGAAATTTGGATTGTGAAGTGTACTGCTGTGAAAAAGTTTTTTTTTCGTTAAAACATTCACATTTTCTCTCTGTTTCTTTTTTTCTTGATGTGCACTTTAATCCGAAACGCCTAATAATTTCTTATCTTTTGCTTTAACTTAGTTTTTTCTCACTTTATAATAATTTTTGAATAAAAATTCAATTGTATCCAAGTATTCTTAATTTTTCAGACTCCTCCACCTGTAATGCCAGTCGGATCGGATGTTGTATGAACTGATTTTCAATGCGAAAGTCTTCGAAACAATAACTACCCGCTTATCTCCCCCATTTAAATGCTTCAACAAATTTGCCCACATTTCCTCATTGTGATATTTTCCCCAACTTTTTTTTGCTTTATGAAAAATTCTCCTTCATCCCTCATACTTTTTCCTGCTGAACGTTTTGTCGCTTTCAACGTGTTTCTAGAACTTTTTTCGTGCTGCTTTTGATAAATATTGGATCTTGATTTCAAAAAAAAAAAAAGATTTTATTTCACTGAATAAATGACTGAACGAATGATTCAAATATTAGGTTGGCGGGAAAGTCTTTGTCACTTTTTCAATAGTTTATTTCTCAAAGAAAAAATAACCGAATAATTAATTATATTGTCCATCATTATCAACAACATGTCTCCAACGTTCCCTCAATTTATGGATTCCATTGCGGTAGAATCCAGCCGGGCGTGAGGCAAAGTATTGTTTGAGTGCCGCTTCGACCGCTCCACGGGAATTGAAGCTTCTTCCTTCGAAGGCACGTGTCATATCGCCAAATAACCAATAGTCGGAAGGAGCAAGATCAGGAGAATACGGGGGTGAGGGAGAACATTCCATCCATATCCCATCAGCTCCTGCTTCACTTGTTTCGAAACATGTGGGCGAGCGTTATCATGTTGATAGTACACTTTCTTGTCTTTCAGGGCCGAACGGTCGACTGCTTTCTTGAGGTTTCGTAGTTGAGTAGTGTAGAGGTCTCCAGTTATTGTTTTGCCCTCGGGCAGAAGTTCCCAGTAGATGGGGCCGTCCACTCCCCACCACACAGAGAGCATAACTTTTTTCGGATGAAGGTCGGGTTTTGGGACATCCTGTGGGCTCTCTCCTTCTCCACCCACTGGGATTTCCTGTGGTGATTATCGTAGAAGACCCACTTCTCATCTCCGGTTATTAGCCGGTCCAGCCATCGATCGCCCGCGTGGAGAGTGAGAAGAGTAATCGAATCGTCGACTCGGCGGGCAAGGATGGCTTGAGTCAGGTGATGAGGTATGACTCGACCAAAAAGTTTTCTCCTTCAAAGAGACTTCAAACCTTCAAGGACTGTGCTATGGTGAACTCCGAATGTGACAGCTAGTTCACGGCTAGATTGAAATGGATCCGATTGCAATGCGTGCTTCAGCTTGTCCAAATCCAACTCACGGGGTCTCCCAGAGCGATCCTTTTCATCGAGCGAGAAGTCATCTTTTTCGAAACGATGGAACCAATTGCGAATAGTATTGTAGTGAGGGGCATGTGTGTTGTACACATTCTTCAAGAAAGTTTCCGAATCCTTCATCGTGGTGTGAGATAGGAAGAGGTAAATCAAAACATGTCTGATGTGAATAACAGTGGGAACAAACATATCGTTTCAATTACAGATGAGGAGCAGGGAAGGAGATGGGGACTTGTTTATATGGAAGGTTCTTATCACCTTGTTATTCACTAGAGTCGATATCATACACAGCCTCCATATACGAGAACAGTGATTAAACAAACAGAGTGACAAAGACTTTCCCGCCAACCTAATATGTCAAAAACTTTTCTAAAGAAATCAGTGTCATTTTGATATCTGGTTAAATTATATGACATATTATTTTTTTCTCTTTTCAAAAACTTTCATTTGGATGAAAGAAATATAGACATTCAAATTATATTTTTTAGATATTCAAATCATAATTTTCGAATTCATTTGTTTTTGTTTATTTGGACTATTCAACCTGTCAAATTTTTGAATTGCAGGTTGTTTATCCCAAGTCACTTGGAACCTCAGGTTCATTGTTCTCAAGGTTCTCACTTTGAGCTCCATCAATTTGGTTCTTTCAAAAGATATCAGAAAATTTTCAACTGATAAATTGCTCATCGTAATATTACCAACATGTTATCAGTTGACGCAATTTTCAAATCTTTCGTAAGAACCGAGGTAATTCAGCTCGATGTATACTTCTAGAGTCGGCTTTTATTAAAAGATGTACGGTATTTTTCCTGGCACTGATAACATATGATATCAATGGATGCGAATTTCAAGCTTATCAAGGACAAGTTTGAACAAACTTGAACCCCACCTTTATCAATGCCGCCTCCTATGTCATAATGAGTTAATTATTGAATAACTGATATTTTGAAATAAAATAAACGACCCCAAAATAAACGACTATTTTGCCCAAACGATCCCAATTTGGAACGCTATTGTGAAGAACTGGCCCACCTTCTTACCACCCTCACAATTCCAAAAACGTCTTGAGATCTCGATTACCCGTTTCTGACTTGCCCCCATCCCTTTGATCTTGCCACTATCTCTCTTTTCCTTCCCCACATTAGGACTAACTCTTGCGGGTTAGTCCTCCTCACCTTCGTTTTTATCATTTTTTTCCCCGGTTACCATCACTCATTATTTCTTCATATCCTTCGAATAAACGAAATATATCTAACATTAAAAACATTCAATTAGTTATGTTCTTCTCTCTATCTACATCCTGATGTGCTCCGTCTTCTTCTTCGGGTCCTTTGAAACTCCTCAAATCTATTTGCTTTCTGAAATTAGAGAATCGACAAATATAACACCATATAATGACTTACTAACTGCTGAAAGACCAATTCCAGTGATTTCCATGTTCCTCTCTGTTTCGAGTTTTTTTGCGGGCCCTCTTCTTCTGACCCATTTTCTGAAAAAAAAACAAATATAAACTCGAAGTTACTCACTTAGTTTTCACCTACTGGGGCCCAGTATCCAAGGGTACATCAAAAGAAGGCAGATCTAGTTCTTAGAATACATGGTATTTCTTGGTACATGAGGGTGGACGAATAAAAAACTAATTGTAAAATAATTTTTTCAGACTTTTTCGCTTTTTGATCACCCTTTTTCAATGTACCCTTGAAGCCTGGGTCACCGACACAAGTACTTATTGAACCAAACAATAGAAAAATTATTATTGTTATTTCTAGATAAACACCCTTGTTTTGTATGAAATTTTTCAACTATTAAAACAATCGAGCTACATGAAATATTTCCGGGATCCTCGAAACTACCGTATCCCTTTCAATAGAAGCCCACCCGAACCATCCACATTGAACTCACTAATCTCGATTCCTTTGAAAAATATAAAAAAAGATCAATTGATAAAATGTTTGTGGTAATATGATAAACAACTGACTAGTTGACAACTTTTTAAAATCTTTCACAGGATCTGAGAAAAAATGGCTCGAAGTTGGAAGTAAGGAAACCCTTCTACTAACAGGTTTTACGGTAGTTTTTTTTTAATATTGGAATTTGCAAATTTGAAAATCGTTCTCATCGGTTACTGCAGAACCAACTTACCTTTTGAGTCTGGATCTTGCCGTGCTGGTGGAGTCTGGCTGGATCAGTGCAAATACCTATTTTAGAAAACTCAGTCCAAGTGATCTTCGGAGACATCGTTGGAGGTTTTAAGGTTTTTGGAGTTTTCAGAGTTTTGGGCAAGTTTGTGATCTGAAATTAAAAAAAAATGTTTATAATCTTTTTTGTAGTTTCCAATCTTTTCTTTTCACTATTTCATCTTTATAAAAATTAGAAAAAAAAAGAGAAAAAAAGAGAAAAAAAAGAAAAAGGAAGCAAAATCAATATCGCAATTCTTGGCGTCAGAGTAGATCAAAACGGGTCTCGTCCCGATTTGGGGAAAAAGGGAACAGAAAATCCAAAATCTATGCCTAGAAGTAGAAAATGGGGTATTGGAATAAACAAACAACTGGTTTACAAAACAAGAATTAATGAGGCAACTTGTAAAAATAAAATAAAAATAGATTGAACTACCGTAAAACCTGTAATAGAAGAGCCCTCTAACTTTCAATTTTGAGCCAATTTATTTTGGTTCCTATGAAAGATATCAAACAGTGGTCAATTGATAAAATGTTTTTGATATTATTATCAACATTTTATTAGTTGACACATTTTTGATATCTTTATTACAGTGACCGACATAAATTTGGTCAAAGTTTGCAGTGTGGGGGCCCTTCTATTACAGGTTTTACGGTATTACTCAAAAGTATGGATAAAATTAAGAAGAAAACAAAGATTGAACCAAAAATAATGTAAACAAATGTGACAAAAAATTCAGAATTTTAAATTTTAAAAACTCGAAAAAAAATAATAATTTTAGAAAAACATTTTTGAAAAAAAAATTGCCTAACAAAAAATAGGTCAATTTCCGGAAAAAAAATACAAAAAACAATTTTTGCCTTTTGTCCGTAAGAACTGGCGAGAAAGAGAATTAATTTTAGGTAGTTTTGAGCGCAAAAATTTAAAAGGAGCGACAAGTACAATAAAGAGGAGACAAAGAGGAAAATGAGGAGACTGAACAAGAAGGATAGAGTGGCAAGAAAAAAGTTGTTAGGGCTTGGAGGAAAAGAATAAAAAAATAGCATAGAATTTGCTCTGAAACTGAAGGAGTTGACAGGGAACATGGTTAATGGTTTGGGATCCACGGAGACGAAAATGAGCAATCGAAAATGACGGCTTCTGAGAATGGGGAAAATTGAGAAAGGGGAAAAAAGTGCGGAGGACGTGGGGATTTCAGAGGTAAATATTTGAATTCTAAAATGTTTGAA